ATCACAATTTTTACTTTTTTAACTACTTTATTAAAACTTATGCCCAAATGAGTGATAACTTATTTTAATTATATTGGTAGGCATTGCAAGGGATAGTGAAGCAAGGGGTATTTCATCAGAGTGCAAGAAAGATGGGGAAGATTGTGGGGTTCCAGAAAGTGGCTGCTATTGTATGATAGATGAGTGTTTTTGTCCGAGGAAACCACCCAGACCGGGTCTTGGTCCCCCTGTTATTCCTCGCGACTCCTCAAATCTTAGTCCTGTGAACCCTCCTCCCTCTTAAGTTGAAACTTATGCTATATAAATATGAAGTCTTGTCTGCTATAAAAATTAACTCTCTAGTCTATATTGATTTGGAAACTACACCTTTATTGTTGATGCGAATAATATTTTGGTTCAAATAAAAAATCATCTTCTCATACAAAATTCAAACGAATAAGGAGCATCAGATCTAAGATTTAAAGGCTAAAACTTAAAATGCAGTGGCATTTTGGCAAATAATAAAAAAATGAATAATATATACATTAATTCGGACGTGAAGATGCACTACATACCGATAGTGTACACTCGTGCAATTTCCTCATTGAATAATATACATTACTTTGAGGTTCAAAGTAAATTACTAATGGGATAAAGGTGCATATGTACGTATTTTGCATTGGGAATGCTCTTTTTATTAGAACTAGCACAGTGCCCATACGCACGGGGAATAATGGTCGATCAATATATATTTTTATTCACAATCTAATTAAATATAAAATAGATTTTTTTCTTACAATTTACATCATTTCAAAAATGGAGTACGATAAGTGAATATAAGAAAGCATAAATCCATGCAACAAATATTCATAGTAAAAGAAAATTAAAAGATACTCCGTATAAAAACCGACACCATCAATTAGAATTTGCCACATAATAATTAGTATTGTTGGTAACAGATCATTAAATATTAAATTTAATTGTTAGAATTTTGAAAACTACTTTACAGAGAACTTTGAGTGGTAATGTCTTATGGCTTTCTTTTATTATCATGTACGTAGTATTAAAATCATCAATCCATATTTTCTAAACTCTCGCTAACGTCACACATATAAACCACTATGTATGAGCGAGAAAAGTCTCCCGCTCAATTGTTTAAGTCGACTTATCTTATACTTATACTTTTTATATCTAAAAACATTACGTATGAGAGAGAAACTTTTCCTGCACAATTGTTTTAGCCGGCCTATCTTTTTATACCACTACGTATGAGAGAAAAAATTCAACAACTCAATTTTTAGTTGGTTTATCTTATAACCAAAAGCACTACTACGTATGAAAGTGACAATCTCCCGCTCAAATTTTAGCCAGTTTATCTTATACCTAAAATCACTATGTATGAGAGAGTGAATTCTCCCGGTCAATTGCTTTATCTCTATTATCTTATACCTGATAAAAAAAATACTATGTATGAGAGAAAATTTTTCTGATGAATTTTTATTTGACTTATCTTATCTTATACCTAAAACCATTGCGTATGATAGAGAAAATTATCTCGTTCAAGTTTTATCCGGCTTATCTTCTTATATATATATATATATTTTATTTTTTTTAATTTATATATATATATATATATAAGATAAGATAAACGGACTAATAATTGAGCGGGAGAATTTCGTCTCTCATACGTAGTGCTTTTAGGTATATATATATACCTAAAAGCACTACGTATGAGAGACGAAATTCTCCCGCTCAATTATTAGTCCGTTTATCTTATCTTATATATATATATATATATATATATATATATATATATATATATATATATATATATTATACCTAAAAGCACTACAAATGAGAGAGGAAATTCTCCCGCTCAATTATTAGTTCGCTTATCTTATACCTAAAAGCACAACGTATGAGAGGAAATTCTTCTGCTCAATTATTAGTCCACTTATCTTATATACCTAAATGTACTACACATGAGAGTGAAAATTAATTTTCACGCTCAATTATTAGTCCGTTTATCTTATATATATGTGAGAGAAAATTCTACCTCTCAATTATTAGTCCGTTTAACTTATACCCAATAGCACTATATATAAGAGATGAAATTCTTCCGCTCAATTATTAGTCTACTTTTCTTATGCCAAAAAGCACTACATATGAGAGACGGAATTCGCATTGTCAATTATTAGTATGTTTATCTTATACCTAAAAGCACTACATGTGTAAGAGAAAATACACACGCTCAATTATTAGTCCGCTTATCTAGTCTAGTTTACCTAAAAGCACAATATATGAGATAGAAAATTATCCCGCTCAAATATTTGTCCATTTATCTTATTTTATCTTATCTTATACCTAAAAGACTACAGATGAGAGAGAAAATTATCCCGCTCATTTATTAGTCCTCTTATTTTATACCAAAAAATACTATATATGGGAGAGAAAATTCTTCCGCTCAATTATCTATAATAAAGAATATATTATCTACAAAATATATATGTTCTCTCGCTCAATTATTAGTTCATTTATCTTCTTATACCTAAACGCACTACATATGAGGGGGAAATTCCTTGTCTCAATTATTAGTCCGCTTATTTCAGATTTAAAAGCACTACTTGTGAGAGAGAAACCCCCCTACTCATTTATTAGTGCTTTTATCTTCTTATACCTAAAAACACTACATATGAGTTGATACTCATAAATCAGTTCTCCCACTTAATTATTAACCCGTTTAAATTATACCTAAAATCACTAAATATGAGAGGGAAAATTCTTCCGCACAAATTAATAGATTTCTTTATACATCCAATATTGGTATCATATGAAAGATAATAAAAAGATATAATTGTAATATATTTCTTGTAACAATCAAAGTACGAATAAAATAGTTATTAACACTATAAAAGAGAAGTTTTTTGAAGTATTAAATCATTTTTGTATTTTATATATACAATTTTGGTGTCATATAAACGAAAAAATATGAAGTATGATATATTTCTTGTAACAATCGAAGTACAAATAAAATAGTTATAACACTATAAAAGAGAAGTTTTATATATATATATACAATATTGGTGTCATATGAAAGTTAATAGAAAATTATTAAATTTGATATTTATGTAACAATCAAATTACCAATAAAAAATATATAGCATTTTTAAAAAATTAGGAGACTTTATTTGATTGAGATAAATTAATAGAAAATCTTAAAATAAAGTTATAATAAAATTTGAAAGTTAACAAAAAGTTATTAACTTTGATATTTTTTGTAACGATTTAGACTACAATTAAAAAATATATAGCACTTTAAAAAATTAGGGAGCTTTATTTAATTGAGATAAATTAATAGAAAATCTTAAAATTAAGTAAAAATTAAATTGTAGTTGCTGAAATTTTGTAGAATTAGAACATACAAAGTGCATATTTGTGGAGTCCCAGCACGAATTACGTAGTAGGATAGGTTTTATCTTTTAGAATTATTATCATCATTATTAGAAGTGAAAAAACTCAATTCTTTTGAAAATAAGCAGCCACATGGCAATACAGAATGAGAGGAGAGAATTATGGACAAAGTGACACGTAAGATTAGTGAAGGGTGTAATTGTCTTTTGATGAGCTATCTCTTTTCTTATATATAAAAATAGACTTGCCCTATATATATATATATATATATATATATATATATATATATATATATATATATATATATATATATATATATATATATATATATATATATATATATATTTCTTTGTAAAAGAGAGAAAAAAAGGTTTCAATAAACAAACATGACAGCATGCTCAGTACTTGTGTTGACATTGCTGGGACTAGAACCAATTCAACATTTCAAAGCAAATAAATACTCATCAAACCATAGATATGGTGTACTCATACATAAAGGCAGTGGCGAATACATTGACCATTCATTGATTCATATATATAACATACTTATCCAAATTATTGAGGCCTTACAAGTAGAAAGACACGATTATGCCCACTTTGACCTTCAGCTTTGTTTTTGTTTACCTTCAGTAATACAACCCGTGTATCAAAGAATAGTTGGTATTGTTTTTCCTGTATGTTCAAGTTTCAGTGAAGGGCTTTTAGTTTCTGACTCAAGAAAGAAGTATTTCCCCTTAATCGCTTCTATTTCTCAAGCATATTTGCGTTGATTGAGGAACATGCTAACTTTGGAGTTTGGACTGAGCGACTTCGATCCTTGAAAGTATTTAGAGTCCAAATCTTTGGACTGAAAATGTTGAGAAAGATATCTCTTGGTTAAGGTAACATTTATTGGATCAACATGCGTGACAATAATATTTCCGCATAAACAAGTAAAACAGTAAGGTAAGACCGCGAGTATAAGTAAACATAGAGCAATCCGCTTGGATATAACCGACATGAAAAAGAATATCAGAAAAAGTGTGGTGTGAAACCAAGAGCTATAAGTTTGTGAGGCCATATAGAGATTTACAATGGTGGCAAAAACAAATTCCCCATTTTCAAGAGTAGCCAGGGGAGTTGCATGTACACATTCTCATGAAGGGTGCATTGAAAATATCAAATTGGTGAGCCAATGTTTAGTAACAAGAGACAACTGACAAGGGCTACATTTAGTATAGTAATTTGAATTATTGCACTTTAATCCCTAAAACAGGAAGAAACACCAACAGGAAATCCATGCCGGATGTTTGAGCATTGTTTTGATCCGCATGATAAAAGAACCAGAAGATTGAAACGAGAGGGAAAAGATTTGAGAAAAGGCACATGTGTATAACGGGATGAATCCATCAACACTACTGATCAAATTTAGTATGGAACTTTTAAAAAGAGGTTTATATGCCTCAACCTAGTGGTGCTTGTTTAAGAGGTTTATATGCACTTCAGTTCTGGACTTTCCGGGCAATCGGGCCTATTGTTCTTAAAGAGGTTTTATATGGTCTTACAGTTCTGGACTTTACAGTCTACTCAAGAGCATAGCAGAATCCAAGCACAAATTTCAATTGTGTGAGCTTATGATAAATAAGTATGCACTCTGGTATTTGATAGACAGTCAAGGTGTGCAATCATGTCTACTTGCAAACATTACAAGGAAAAACAAAACAAAAGGAGAAGAGACTGTTGAGGATAAAACTAATACCACAAGGCAGTTATAGATAGAGAGTATGGAAGGCATATAATCTTGCGGGGTGCATGCTTTCTAATAAGTCAATTGGTTTTACAATTAGGCATCAAGAAAAAAACTAACTACTTCACTGTTCACCTTCATTTCATACTTGGGATGGTAACTTCTGTTAGTGACATGTTTTTTCAATATCACCTCTTCCACTCTGCTCGAATGGCCTTATCTGAAAGTAAGATGAGAAAGGCAACATTAGTACGGATTACTAAAAGTAGGGGTGAAGTGGCAAAACCAAACCAAACTTAACCGAACCATATGCAACTCAGTTGCAATTTGGTAATATTTTTCCAAATTGTATTAAACGTAAACGAACCCATAAAACAAAATAAAGCCGAGCAAAATTAATTTTTTTATTAAAACCGAACAGAAGTACAGAACCAAACCGAAACACAGTTTGGTTGTAATTTAGTAGTAATTCCTCAAGCTTGTTTCAACCGAATCAAACCAAAACTGAAAAAGTCTGATGCTACAATATTCTTTAGGTCATGAACTGGCTGTGGCTTTTGTACAATAGATTCAAAAATAACCTAAGCAACATGCACAATATGCTTTTAAACTACGAACCAACTTCACTCTTATAAATAGGTAAGAGAAAATTGATCATATATTAGGATGAGGAAATACACGTAAAAACATAAGCACTACTTTCATCACAGGCAAGTAGTTGAGAATAAGAAAAATGAAATGACTAGCTGACAAAGGGGTCTCTCAACAAGCTTTCACACATGAAATGGATGTTATGAACCAAAAAAAACTCACCTGACCCATCCCTGGATGTTGATAAGGATCTGTCAATTTTAATTCCTTCTTTGCCACTTGCTTGAATCACATGTTTCTGTATGCGGGGTGATGAACTCATCTTTCCAATACTCAAAGATGGCATAGAATAACGTCTCATCACAGTAATGTTCTCTAAACCATCTTGCCCATCCCGGGGTGATGCCTGCTCCCTCATTTTAGCCCTCGCAGACTGAGTTGGAGTCATATAACTTGGTAACTTTCTTGTGGTGGGGTGTGTGCCTGAATCTATATCACACTTTAAAGGTAATGAGACTCTTCTCTTCCTGTTCTTGTGATTGCTGTTTAGCACCTTATTATCTGATGTTATAACATCTTCCTCGTGATTCTTGACAGCAATTGGGCCAGGTGAAGTTTTGGATAGCTTCTCTACATGTGTTTCTACATCATCCGGTTTTGTCGGTTCAACCTTGGACTGAATGCTGGAAAACTCATTATGTGATGTCACCATTGAAAAACCCTCTTGAACAAGAGTTTCTACAACAGCATATTTATCTGGTTCAATACGTGGAATATCGTCAGTAGTTGTTGGTGGCTGCTTAAGATTTTGCATTGAACTGTCAGTGTCTGCTTCTGGACAAGCAGATTCTTCTATTATAGGCTTGGATATTTTTTTCAGGTTAATTCTAATCTTCTCAATTTCAGAAACAGATTTTGCAGAATGCTGTGTTATAGTAGCCTTTGAGTTGCTCTTAACTTTCTCAGCCTCAGAACTAAGGTGATTTGATCTGTCGTCTATCTTGGATGTTTGGTGATTTGGGTCAGAAATATGTTTAGGCTCAGATTGTGGAATCCACACTTTTGATATAGTCCACCGCTTTAACCATTCATCACCAGAGTTTGGCTCCTCAGGACCATAGTGAAGCTGTAGAGGCACTGTGTTGGGTGACCATGAAAGTAGCTGAAATGAAACAATTTTTAAGGGCATTCAGACTATGAGCCTGATTGGGATAACTTCTGAAACAAATACACGCACTTTTTCTAAATTTGAAAAATAATACTTCGTGTGTAGCTATTTTTTGTAAGGTTAAAATCATTTCATTCAACAAAAAAAGCAAAACACTCAAGGAAGATCGATTAAAATTATAGCTTTTCCATGCTAGTATTAATACAATTACTTGAAGAACACCGACAGCTTTTTCATACTTCATATCATAAATGTCTATGGTGTTCAACATCAAGAACATTGAAAGCACCATTATTGGAAGTCATGTATGTATGAACAATTCTTAGAGCTGTAGAAACAGATGTGCACCTAATTTTATATAGAACACTTCGTTGTGCACAAAAACATCAAGAGATACCCATGACTATGGAGATCGATAATATACCTTTTTGGTGAATGCATTGTCCAGTAGCTTGTCAGCTGGAATTGATGCCTTAGTTTTGAAATGACCTAGTGCCTTAAAGAAAACAATAGGAGAGGCACAACAAAAAAACACAAGTAAAGCCATCCATCTTAGAAATCAATGATACATCAGATAGGCAAGGCAAGATAGGAGCAAGTAATCAGAGACAGAGGGCATAATACAAGTGAAAATCAAATTTTAAGTAGGTATTATTAAACTTAGAACCTTAACAAAATAGAAAGTATAATACACACCAACAGTCCAACACATATTCATATAGAGCTGGTTCGTCTTGTGATGCGCTTGCATTAGCAAGTATTTATAACCTTACCTCTGTCCCATTGGATATTTCCAAGTTTGTGTTAGGTGTGAAATAAGTAAGTAAAAACTGTGCAGAGGAGAAAGAAATAAGTAGAACCACAAATCATTTTCTATAAATGTAAAATGGCAAAGTTTTTTAGACAAACAAAAAAAAAGTTGGCAAAGTCCAATGCAACGAGGGGAGTGCATACTACATACTATATGAACAATGTAAGCTATTGTGTGAAATAGAAGTTCAAGAGTGCCACATTTTCCAATACCTGATTTGTGAAAACTTCTCCTTTGAAATTTGAACGCCTACCTATTTGACCGCGTACAAGTGCTTGAATCTTAACAACACCCAGAATAGAATTTAAGGTACTAACAGCTTGCCTTCTGACCAAATGTCCACGGATCTGTGCTTGAAGTTTTACAATACGCTTGACAGTCTGAAACGCTTGGCGAGCCTTAAAAGAAGCAATCTCTCGTCATTAATTAACATGATTATGGGCACGAACGTGCTCTTTTAATCTATTATAAAAGAACTATTGTGTAGCCATGCACAGATTAAATGTAGACTACGAAGTTAATAGAGTACAGGACATTATGCTTGTAAAATAAATACCTCCCCCACCCCCAGGAAAAGAAAAAAAGAGCCTGGTAGTTTGACTTTTAAAGTACATATTCATTAAACTTGACCTTTAAATGCTCACATTTAATATTTGTTTTGTTTTATAATATGTGAGTACTCTCGACCAAATTCTTCTAGTTACACATTGTATATTGTAACTAAGAATGGTCAAGATAAACATTGAAGATGGTGAAAGTCAAAACGTCAAGTTCATTTCAAGACAGAGGTAGTAAATTGCTTTGGACAGGGCTATTTCAGTTACAGATATGGGGAACAAATTCATTTATTCAAGCAGTCCAAATTAAGTGAGGATCTAGTCAGCTAACAATATAACACTGAAATAGGATTTACCCGATAACCTCTATAAGCAGCTTGTGCTTTTGTTGCAGCTTGCACAAGCTGAAGCTTCTCTAAATCATCAGTAAGATTAACAGTAACTTCACTTGCACTGCCTGCACTATCATTTTGGTTTATAGAAGTATTAACCACCTCACCACTGAGCGACTTTTCAGCTTCTCCTTTTACAGAGTTTGAGTCCTCTTTTAATTGTAAAGTACTAACGGGAAGAGTTTCTGGAACCAAAGACAGGAGGTCTGTTGACAAGTTGGATGCGGATTCCTTGGAAGAAACTAGTGATCCTTTGTTCTTTACAGATTTCTAGAGACAACAAAGAAAATATAATGAACTTCAAATCGAAAACTAATCAATGAAAAAAATTGACAAATATGTTTTCCCATATTCTTAGTGGACTACATGCATTTTCCTATACAGTATATTTTGGAATCACAACCTTTAAGTCGGTCGCTTCTTGCACGAATTTTCTAAAATAAGAATGAAAACAGGAGACCCATTTCCAATCGAAGCTGATAACAATGTTATCTAAGCATTTGTTGAATGCAGAAAAGATGCTGCTGTTAGTCACTTAGTCAAACAGATTAGTGGCATTATCTGTTTAGCAAAGATTATATGAAAATTAAGATATGGAATATACAAAATCGTTTTCCAAGTTTGCAGAAACAATGTATAATAATAACTTTCAAATGGCATAAAAACGGAACACAAAAATATAATTATGCCTTAATAGAATGTGTGAAAATCAAGATCAACACACAAATACAATTTAATATGTTTTATAGGATAAAAAAGAAAAGAAGAAAACTACTTTTAAACGTCTTTTTTACCATCAAGAAACAAAATTCACAGAAGGAATTTACCTAACAATATGATTTTATTAGCATGAAAAACTGGAGCTAGAGGTACCAAAATTGAAGTATGATATCTAAACAGAAGTATAGTAGTAAATTAAGATGCTTAAAAGGCCATCATGGGTTACCTAACAATGCACATCGTCCCAATGAAATACCATTACTTACCATTAAGTGACTAGATATGCAACCTTATAGTTACAGAGTAAGGGTAGAGCACTAATTTGACTGGATGATGATTTGAACAGGATGGGTGGCTCATGGTGTCAACATAACATTACTCGAAGTACAGAAAAATGCATGCTACTATAAATGAAAATGTTCTTCAGACTGAAGCATTTGCACAAAAATTTAATACCATCCTTAATAAAAACGTGGTTATTTGTACCAAAAAATAAAAACAAACCTTTAGAATATTGGCATCAAGGGAATAGGCGGACTCCATTTTTTCACACCAAATTACCAATAATATAATGATACCAAAACTAAAACTAAATGGTACTACTGTATTGTCTTCATGTAACATTAGGGACAAACAATTGGGTAATATTGAAGCATGCAAGTAACTAAGTAAGTAGCACTAGAATAAAGGTAAGTAGAGTGAGCTTGCAGACCTTTGAAGGTATACCAGATTTGGAGCTTTTCTTCCCCAAAAGAACAGATCTAAACCATTTCGCAGGAGATTTTCCCATCCTCACCACGTTGCAACAAACAGCACAATCTTCGACAAGCTTCCTCAAACGCAAACTACACACTGCAGCATCAGGTAAACGAAACTACTCAAGAACAATGCGGAAAAGCGGAATGCAGTCATAGCATTCAAAAAGAGAAATATGTAAGGATTTCTTAGTCTAAAAGCAAAACAGAGAATCACAGAGCTATTGCGAGCTCGGGTATATCTATTTCATGTTCCCACACTGCTTTAGCATCCATTGCTTGCTTCGTGCAGTTGTGAAACCCAAAATCAAAATATGCTTAAAAAGGCATTTTGAAAATCAAAATATATCTGATGATGATGATGATAAAAATGCTACAGTGAGGTAGTGAGATGGAGATGTTTAACGGCGCCGTTTGGTGATTTGACTGTGTTGGGCCCGGTTGATCTTTTGATGTTGTTTTGTGTGGGAAAAATGGAACGTTGGGCAGTTAGAAGGTCGCTGTAGGCTCCAAAAAGATGTGCAAACCTCCCCATTGTTTGTCCTTTTTTTATACGTATGCAGTCCCAAAAGTCTCACTCATTCGGTCATTCCATGTGCGTCTTGTACAAATGGATAAACACTTATTTTATCCTCTATTTTGGAAATAGATACACGATATCTGCACGGGTAGCTAAGTTGGTTCAGTGGTGGGAAATTCAGAATAATGATCAAGGTTCGAAAGCCGCAGCGATCGTGAGGAGGTTACAGCTCCTGTGTGCTGGACTGAACCTCTGGTGAGCACGGATAAAATTTGAACCGACTGAGTTACTGTGACTCACATCCTCCGAAAAATCCTAAAATTTTGAAAAGCATATTAGTATGCTTGTATAAATTTAATTTAATTATTTATTGTTTTTTCAAATTTTAGTTGAACAAAAAAATGAACACCCAAAACTTGAATCATAAATCCGTCTATGGGTGTGGAGGGTCGGTGTAAGATTCCACCTTTTTTGAACAAGGGTAATAGATACATGCTTTAATGCATCAAACTCTCTCTTCATATATGAATTTGCCGCATTAAATCATTTTGATTTTAGAAATACATAAAACTCATTTGTGTTTTTATTATTCATGCACAATACCCTTTCTAAGAATAGATTTTATAATTTTGTTTTAATAATGTGATTGATGAATATTTAGAGCTTGTTTGGTGATTTTGTTTTTCGGGTTACCAGATTTGTCAATCAATTTTTCACCAAATACATAACTTTTGATTTGACACATTGAATTGTATAATAATCAAAATAAATAAAATTAATGTTACTTTTCTCGATAAATTGACTGAAGTTAAGTACAAGATTATTTCAAACTTATAAAAATTTCGTTGTCCCGCTGTCACAGATTTATTCCGTGACAAATTTGAATATTAAATTTTCTTCACCACGTTGTCACGTCTATAACAAATTCAAAATTTTAATTTTTGTCACACATTTTGTGTCCATGACAAAATGAGACAGGCGCCGATGTGTCACGGAAAAAACGTGTCTATGACAAAATTGGTTACATGAGAGCGGCTTTTTTGTAATGGAATGACTTATGTTCGTTCCCAATAAATAACCGAAAATGAATAAGAAGGAGATGGAGTAATTTTAAGACACAAACAATAAATGCGCATTAAATTAATTAAGTGGTTTGAAAGAAGTCGTTAATCTTTAGTTTCCAACAGAAGGCATGCACCGGCGGCGGTCAAGCAAATGCTTAATTAGAACTGCGGCGATACGTTAAAAATGTGTATTCATTAGGCTCGATTCAGGTCAAATTAAAATAAAATGACTCTATTTTATGGGTTAAAATAATTTCTCCGTATAAGAAGTTGTACGTCAAATACACCCATACCCTTATTCTTTAATTCCCAATAACCTCACACAAATGATAAATCTTTTGGAATATCTGGTTACCCGATGTACAATTTCTCTTTAAACTCTTATACGCGATTAACACTATTTTAAGAAAATATGTAGATTAGAGCTTGATATTCATCTTTTCAAATATATTTTTACTGTTTTTCAATCATTCAAAACATGTTGGCTAAACCGGCTCTTGGTCATGTGTTTAATGCAAGTCTAGGGATCGAGAGGGTTTTAAATTGTCAAAAGACAATTTCTTTCTTATAATGCAAATAAGGAATCAGGTCATTCGGATACGGTCTTTCTGTGCTTTAATACATGGGTAACACTGCGTACATCTGACCCCCTTACCCCACCGTAGGTGGGAGCCTTTGCGGCACTGGGGTGATGATGATGAATGATGATGAATGCAAATAAGGAATCAAAGTAATACTAGTGCGAACACAATGTGTGTTTGTCGCGGTTAAAATAGCATATTTGATGCGGTTTCAACCGGTTTACCCCATCAAAAGACATACGTAGTATTGTAATTTGTACACCATTCTACCTAGTTTTACGGTATTTTTGTAGCTTTTTATTCACATCATTAGTGTACATGTAATCAGAGGCACGTGAAGTCGGAAAAGAAAAACTACATAGAAAGGAAATACAGTGCCTATTGATTATTTTTTTATTGAATACGAGAATTTAATTAACTTCTTGAATATGGTATGAGAGTTTGTTCGATAGTTTTCCAATACAATACTATTGAGTATGATATAGTAGCGTAACAAGCAGGGCAGAGCCAAGGCACCGAGTCGGACTGGGCTGATACAAAGAACATTTTTTGAAAAAGTTTTACACGGAATTTTTTACACTAAAAATTTAGACATTTTTAAAATTTGGGTTGGGTCAGGGCCAAGGTTGGCCCTCCCCTAACTACGCCCCTGGTAACAAGAGCAACCTCATAATAGTAGTAATATTTAATCAATAATGTTTAATTTTATATCTTATAAAATAATGTATAGAATATATTGAATAGTTGTTTCAAGTTGCCTTTGTAAGTGAGATGGTAAAACAACTAATGTTGTTAAGGAGAGTCATGTTAAGGTTGTTTTTAATTGGACTCTAATTCGTCCCAGACCACACCAGACCAGACCAGACTAAAACAGACCAGACCAGACCAGACCAAACCAGACTAGACCATATTTTATTATTATTATTATTATTATTATTATTATTATTATTATTATTATTATTATTATTGTTGTTGTTGTTGTTGTTATTATTATTATTATTGTTATTATTATTATTATTATTATTAGTACTATTACTACTATTACTATTATTACTATTATTACTATTATTATTATTATTATTATTATTATTATTATTATTAGTAGTAGTAGTAGTAGTAGTAGTATTTTATAGATTAATACTTGTACTATTTTATTATTGTTCTGTATTTGTATGATCTGCTTCGGTCTGGGATTGAAATCAATCCAATTAAAACGATAACAATTTTCGATAATTTGGAAGGAATATTATTATTTTTAATTAAAAATGACTAAAATATAATTATTTATAGATTATAATATATATATATATAATAAAATCTTTATGCAAAAAATATTTAAAAAAAAATAGACCAGACCAGACCAAAACAGACCAAACCAGACCAGACCACACTAAAACAGACCAGATCAGACCAGTAAATTACGGTCCAAGTAAAAACATCCTAACTCCTTGCGATGATAAAGTTCTAATCTATTTTAATTCTATTTTTAAAACACTAGAAGAGAAGTGTTAATAACATACCGAACTAGCACTGGAATCGACTGGTATACCGGAATTGCCTAGGGGTGGGTTCGGTTCTTTCGGTTCGGTTTTGACCTAAAACCAAATACAGAACCAAAGTAAAAGTTCGGTTTGGTTTTACACTCCAAAACTTGGAACTACGGTTTGATTGGTTCGGTTTGTTTCGGTTCGGTTTCGGTTTTTTCGGTATTTTACTAAAAAATTGTCATTTGATTTAAAAGTTGGTGGGATCAAACATATTACATAAAAATGCAAGCATACTTGAACAAATAAAGAAAAATAGTAAACAAATATGTCTTGAATTATATAAGTATATGCGGGAGAGATAAAAGTGTGTATCTATTATTAATTTACATTGTTTGTGATTGATGGATTATAGGTATCCAAGTATATATAAAATGGGAGAGATTGAGCTTAATAATGTGGAGAAGAAGATGAATAGTGGTATTGAGACTTATGTTCTAGGGTTACAAATGGCTCCAAGAGGAGTATAAATAGGGAAATAATGGGTCGGGCCGCTAATATGGGCCCGGTAGCCCAACTACATAAAAGACTAATCCAGTACATAGTTACATACAAATGACATATAAGCAGTACAATAATACAAATGATATCCGTAAGATGTGTGTGGGCCGTTGTCCGGGCCCAATAGTCGTGAGACCCGGGGGTCCGAGTCTATATACTCTATCAGGAGTCCCCCACTCTCTGAGTCGAGAGTATTCGAGGCGAAAGAGAGTAGAACTGTGTGCTGATCTGTCGCCGTCTGGTGAGTAAACTTCATGAACAAAAATTTGAATTTCTGCTTCTTTGGTTAACGGAGACGCTAAGTCCCCCGCTCTTCCAGTCCCCCACTCCTTGAGGCGAGTGTAATGAGGTGAAGAGGAGTAGAGTAATGCGTGTCGGATGATGTCTTCAACAGGGGGCCGAGGGTTGACACCTTTTGATCCACGATGGGGAGATGCCTCGTTAAAAACCTCATTAGGAAAAACCCTGTGGGAAAAAATCCTAATGAGGGAAAAAGAGTGCACCGGATGCCCCCAAAATGAAACAAAAGGTGCGAGCCCTTCGGCCTGGAGATGGAGCTGCAGCGGTGCCCGTCTGCTGGATGGTCGAGGCCGATCTCTAGATGTGGGTAGCTCATCATGATCAGTAGTCCTAGTCATCAAATAAAGATGACTAAGGGATGGGTCGAGCGACCGTCCACAATATGATGTCTGGTTCATCAAATAAAGATGACCAGAACGTAAGGCCGATGGGCCGAGAGGCCTATACGAGAGCTCCACGTTGTCAAATAAAGACGGCGGGGCGATGGTGCGGCCGAGGGGCCTGCATAAGAGCTCCACGTCGTCAAATAAAGACGACGGGGCGATGGTGCGGCCGAGGGGCCGGCATAAGAGCTCCACGTCGTCAAATAAAGACGACGGGGCGATGGTGCGGCCGGGGGCCTGCAGAAGAACTCCACGTCGTCAAATAAAGACGACGGGGCGATGGTGCGGCCGAGGGGCCTGCATAAGAGCTCCACGTCGTCAAATAAAGACGACGGGGTGATGGTGCGGCCGAGGGGCCTGCATAAGAGCTCCACGTCGTCAAATAAAGACGACGGGGCGATGGTGCGGCCGAGGGGCCTGCATAAGAGCTCCACGTCGTCAAATAAAGACGACGGGGT